CCCTTGATTTTAAGAATCGTAATAACAATTCACCTTTAAATAGTGATTTACATTTACAAAGCACTTGATAAACTCATTATCTCATTTGATCTCACCCCCTCTCCATTTCCTCTGGCCTCAGCTGTCTGAGAAGAACAGGCATCTCCTCCAGGGCTTTCAGGATTTCCGTCCACTTTAGATGGGTCTACCCGGACAAAATAGAGCAGAGTACTGCAGCAATAATCGGGATAATGAAGGTTCTGGCCCACTTCTGCCTCCCTTATATGGCTAGTTCAGCTATGGTGGGCCAGAGGGTACCAGTTTATGTGAGTAACTGTCTCAATTCTCCATTTGGTTTGTATACACAGACTTTGGCCCAGAAGGGGAATGGGAAAGGATGCCGCCCCATAGGGCTACCCTCCCTACCAGAATAATTGCTTTGACCCAAGAAGAGCTGGAGAATACTGTCCATATATGCCTGCTTTGGGCTTTTCTCCCACCACACTCGCTGAGGAGAGAACAAGGGAGACAGAAAACTACCAATGCCTTTTGTCCAGTCTCATGCAGGTGACAGGGAACTGCTGTGGCCCCCAGAACTGGCTACAAATTAAATTGCCAACGACCCAAGAACCCTGACGGTGGGGATGAGCACAGGGCTGGAGGCTCAGGGCTTTGATGATGCTCGGAAACCCAGCTGGCCTGGTGGGACCAGGCCAAGGCCAGGCCAGCCCAACCCGGTAAGGGGAGCGGGAGGGGGAGTGCATCCCCAGCTCTCCGCTGACCTAGTTCTCATTCCCCTTTTCATTTCAGAAGCTCAGCTAAAAATCCATAAATTAAGGAAATTAACTGATGGCGCCCCCGGCATCTTTGTAAGCTATTTAAATCTTTAAATTTACAACATCTTCTGCATATATCAAGTAATTGAACTAACTGCAGGGATGTAACTTTAATGAGAAAATTTCCCTCTTCTCCTGTAGTTTGTGCTTAAAAAAAATAAAACCTACCCTTAGGAAAAAAGTTTCTGTTTATTCCTGCCATCTAGGAGAACTTTGAAAATGCCTCAGTTTTGGGGCCCACCCGTCACTATGTCCTTGGATGGTCCCTGAGCCCTTGTCAGCCACTTCCCTAGAGAAAAGCCACACCTCAGCCCCTGCACGTCGACTATGAGCCAGTCCGCCGAGCGCCGGACGACTAAGTCCAAAGTGGGTCCTGCTTTGAACCCTCTGGGGCGGCCGGACCTTGGCCAAGTCTCCGGCCACCAGCCGACGGCCTTGACTTCGAGCAGCCGCCAGGGGGCGGTGAAAGGAAGACTATCTTGAGTCCAGCTCGCCCTTTGCGCGGACTCGGGTTTGCGCCCCGCGTTAGGGGCGGGAGAGAGGAAGGTGGTGGGTTACTGGTGTTTGCTTTGGTCCGGGGTGGGGACCGGTCTTAGGTTGTCCCTGCCCCAGTCGGGGTGGGGGTGGCGAGATTGTTTGTGGTACTAAATCGGGGGTAGGGATGGGAATGTGGAATAAGCTTGAGTGTTTTCCCAACCTAGGGGATGAGGGTGGGGTGATGGAACAGAAGAGCGCAAACGTGGGGATCCAGAGGAGTAAGAAAGCGGGGCCGTATGGACCCCACCAGGGATGCAGGTGGACATGGCATTATTTGCTATGAGATAAAGCCCCAGGAAGTGGGGGAGGAGTAGAGCGGCGAGGAATGGAGTTGAAAGCTCATTGGAAGGGTTGGTGATTTGGTTGCGGGGAGGGGAGAGCAGAAGGGAGGCGATGTGGAAAAAGGGGG